GTACTTCTAGTTTAGGAAGAAAATCCAATCACCTTTCTAAAGGTAATCTTTAGAGTTTAAGTTTCCTAAATGGGTCTGTATTAATTCTAACAAGTTAGATAGTGTAGCTGTAACTTTCTAAACAATAGTTGAAGACTATTGTTTTTTTCTATCTAGTTAATATTAGGGTTGTATAACTGTAACTATTTAAACCTGATGAAAATGTTTATAAACTCTAAGTCTGTAACAGTTAATTCAATTATTTCTAAATAGTTAGAAATAATTATACAGAGATACACAAAATTCATAATAGATCCTACTTAGTTCTAAAACCTATCTGTATTATACACTAGAATTAGTGTTAGTACTAGAAATGTTGTAATTCTGTGTTTATAAATAAAGGATCTGTTAATATAAGAACTAGTATAGTTACTATTAATTAGTGTCTGTGTACACACCTGAAAACTGTCCTATACTAAGGAGAGGAGTACTAGGACTACTAATTAGTTCCCCTTTCCTCCTCTTACAAACTACTAGTTTTTGAGTAACTCTAGTACTACATTTATAGAATCCTTTAGAAATGTAAAGAGTAATACAGAGTAAGACTTAAGTGTGAAAGGAAAAGTTAAAAGGATAGAAACAGAGACTGAGAGAGAATTATTTATATTATAAGAGAGTTGAGAAGGATTAAAGAATAAGAAAATATTTACAGAAGGAATTGTGTGTTTGTAAAAGGTTAGAAAACTATTTACAGAAGGTTTTATATTATATTAGATTACTTTATCTACTTTTACAATTTTTACAGTTTTTATAGTTTTCTCTATACTTTGTTTAACAGTTTTTTAATTATCTATACTACTTATACTATGAGTACTTATTAAATCAAAACTAGAGACTATTTTAGAAAAACCTAAGTTTCTACCCTTACTTACTATACTCAAGCTTGAGTGTTTATAAAACTCTAAACTAGGACTAGTTTATAAGTGTCAGACACATTAGAATCTCCTTCTAAAAGTCTAGCAAACTTCTTAGTCTAGTTTATACACTCTTACACACACATTACTTAAAGTGTAAGCTGAATTTATTAATAATAGTTAGAGCAAGTACTACTAATATAGTTAGGCTTACTATAAAGATAGTAGAGACTTTTCTATTATGTTTTGTTAATAGTTATCAGTTAGCCCCTTTCTCTAAACACAATTCTGTCCTGTTTATTTAATTGTAGAACACTGTTTAGAAAGTATTTGACTAGTTTACAGTGTTGTAAGAGTCTTACAAGTATTGTATCTAGTTTATAGTGTGTGAAAGTTGGTTAAGAGTAATACTACATACTAAGATTCTGAATATAGTGTTTTATACTATTAAATACTAACACTTTTTTCTATTACTCATTATAAGTTATTAGAACAGGGTTACAACTTAGAATCTTAGTAACTATAGCTTAGAGAAGGACTGTCTCTAAGATTCTGATAAGAATGTTACTCTAAGTACTTTTATACCTTACTACTTAATACTAAATGTCAAACTCTTAAAAGAACTCCTTTAAAGGCTTAGTCTTTATATACATAGTATAAAGCTTGACTTACATATTATAACATTTGTTTAAATTGTAAAACAAGATATTAAGTTCTGTAAGGACAGTTATAAAGGATTCTGAAGCTAGGAGTTAAATTACACTATGTTTTGTGTGTTACTAAACCTAGTTTTAAGTTTAGATTGTAACAGTCTTAACCTTTATAAAGAACAGAATAAAGAATGTTTTGTCTAAATTAGAGTATTAATTCTAAGTAGAGACAGTATGTATATAGAGGAGTAATTCATGCCTCTAGTCCTTATAATTACTCCTGTCAAAGTTCTACAGTTTAACAATATAAATAGTGTGTTAAAACATAGTAAAAATAAGTATAGTATGTTGTATAAAGAGTTAAACTTATAACTTATATAAGAGACTGTTCTAGAGTTGTTGTTAGAATGCTTAAGTTCTTAGGTTATTACACAAGTAATGAGGGTGTAGACCCTAATAATGTTCTGTATTTAGTTAATAAGTAGTATGCTTTTATAGTATTCATCTGTTTGAATGTCTTAGTTGTTCTATGTATTACTATATGTTATAGAATATGTTTTTTACTCAGACATGTCTGGGATTGTGTATCTGAACATGTCTTACTGTTCTGCTGTCTGTTCTGTTTGCATTAGTTGTATTATCAATTGTAATACAAGTTAACAGTCTCCTTCAAACATTAACTAGACTTATTAGGTTTATTAAGTGTTTGATCTTTGAAACATGTAATGATTTAGTTAGGATGTCCACCCTCTGTTCATCTGTTTGAACATACTTAATATTAATAAGTTGTTCCTCAACATAGCACTTAACAAAGTTGTACTGTAAACCAATATGCTTAGTTTGTGTTGAGTATTTTGTTTTGTCTACTTCTATAGATTTAATTACTACTTGATTATTACAGTAAATGTTTGTAGGTGTATCAGAGATCTGTAGTATCTCCTCTGCTAGGCATTGTAATACTATAGCTTCTTGTATTCCATTTGATAGCACAATTAATTCCACTTTGTATGTTGATAAAGAGACTAACTTTTGTCCTTTACTTGACCAAGATATAAGTGATTCTCCTAAGAAGAATGTGTATCCAGAGATTGCTTTATTATTCTCTTACATCATACTGTCTGTATTAGTGTAACTAATAATATTATTATGGTTCCCTTGTCCTAGTAGTAACCATTTGTCTTTGGTTCCCTTTAAGTAATGTATACAATACACAATAGTATTATAATGTAACATGCTAGGGCATTTTAAGTATTTTACAAGTTGAGATGTTATAAACACTATGTTAGGTTGTGTACAATCTGCTATATATTGTAGGGATCCAACCATATTCATATACAGTATTCTGAACATAAATGTGTGTTCATCTTCTGGTAGATTATTGTCTGTAACTAATTGAGTATTTGGTTGTATAAGTGTTTGCAAGTTCTTTTTGTTTTGCAAGTTATATTGAATTAATACATTTTCAATATAATGTTTCTGTCTCATCATAATTGTTCAATCAATTTGATTGTGTTTGATTTCTATACCTAGTAACTAATGTAATTCACTACTATCTGTAATTTCTATAGGCAATTGTAAAGAGTCTTTAATTATATTGATAATATTATTACTCTGTACAACAATAGTTATACCATCAATGTGAATTAATAATATCACAACTGTATGTTTGTCTTTCTTTGTGTGAAATACTGCAAAGTCATACTGTGATTGTGTAAAACCAATTGTTATAAGTATTCAGTATAAAGTTTTATACTATTATTGTCCTGCTTGTTTTAATCTGTATAATACTTTATACAATTATAATACTTGTCCAGGTTTTAACTTTACTAAGTTACCTGGTAGAGATTTAATAAATATTACTTTGTTATTATCAAGTTCTCTGTTTAAGTATGCAGATTTAACATCTACTTAATGTATCTTAAAGTTCTTTAAACATCCCTACACTATTGCAAGTCTTATTAAAGATATGTGTGTAGTGAGAGCAAATAGATCATTATTATTATAATCTTTACTGTCTTGTTAGTATACTCCTTGTACTACCAATCTAGCTTTTTGTTTCTTGATAGAATTGTCTGCTAGATGTTTTGTTTTATATACAAATTGTGTTCTAATAACATTTGTGTTATTAGGAGGATTTACAATTTCTCATGTATTACAATGTATTAATTGTTGTATTTCTTTGTTCATAGCTTTATTCCAAAGCTGGCAATCATTTCTTTCAATTGCTTCTTTATATGTTAATAGATCCACTATTATTTCTGTATGTAGATTGTTAAATTCATTAAGGTAAATCATAATATTTGTTTTGTCAATGTATGATAGACCTTTCAAGCATTTATTAGGTATATTTGATTCACCTAAATGTTCTGTATGCTTTCTCTTTTGAGTAGAGTGTCTTAACTACATGATTCTGTCATATTCTTGATTGGATTTATCAGATTGCTCTTTATTTATAAG